CCCCCCCCCCCCCCCACACCGAACACACAAGGGACGGATGGATGGACAGGTGCGTCTGTCGGTGTCAGTGTGACAGAGTCCCGGGGACCACCTGCAGGGCGTGCACCGTCCCGATGATGGGCAACACGTCGTCGGGGTCGCCCTCCCCACTGGCGCACCCCAACATGGACACCGAGGGCACACCCGCACCAGCAGCGCCGTCCACCAGGTCAGCCACACCACGGCCGTTAAAGACCCCCCTGCCCCTCCCGCCCCTCCCTCTCCCCCCGGCTCTCATGCGGCCGTTGCTGAGGTTGCGGAGGGGTGTGTCGAGGACAGAGTTCTCGGAGGGGGCCTTCAGACCCACGACCTCCATTATCGCCTCGCGCAACATCTCAGCCTGATTGATGACGAGAGAAAGAGAGAAACGTATTCCCTCCCTCCCTCCCTCCCATTTAGAGAGGCCGACCGACCTGCGCCTTGTAGGGCGTGATGATGCCGACGTCCTTGGCGCTGACGCCCATGCCGATGAGGTACTGGTAGCAGGCGGCCACGAGGCGCACCTCGCCAGGATTCGTGAGGGAGTAGGGCGACACCTGCGACTGCCGGCCCATCGACGACTCCTGCTGACCTATGACGTCCTCGATCTTGTTGGCCTAAACACACACACACACAGAGGGGGAGAGGGAGAGGGAGTGCCACCAGGGAGGGTGGATGCCCACCGACCCACCGACCTGTCTGGGCTGGTGTGGGGTGGTGTTGTCGCAGAGCATCATGGGCTTGTGTCTGCCGGCGGGCCAGGGGAACACCGCCATGTCGGGCTGTGTCCACAGCCGATACTCGAGATCTCGGGTCTCCTCGCTGTCCTTGAGCTGCCCCTCGTAGAACTCCGTCGAGATGAACTCGCGGATCCTCGGGTGCATTCTGTACTGCTTGCGCAAGGTGATGTGCGGGATCGCCTTCTGCCCTCGGTGCGGGCGGCTGCCAGTGGCGGCTTTGTTGTCTCCCTCCTGGGCCTGGGGCGACTGCTGCTGCTGCTGCTGCTGGGTCTGGTTCTGTCTTCGCATCTCCTCCCGCTGCTTCTCTGAGACAAAGAGCCGCTCGAAAAGGGATTTCTCGAGGACTTTG